TATTTGCCATAAGATGTACTGTGTGTATCAAATTACATGTGCAAACTGTACATATTGGGGGGGACACTTGCACACTTTGGCTAGCTTATACTAATATCATTAATGCCCATACTTTAATTAGATTTTTTTGCTATCTCTGTCTAGTGGATATACTATTTTTAGAACAAAAAAGGCAACTAGTAGTGAGAGCAGAGATACTATCTCTGGTGAGAAAGAAGTGAATTGGAAAGAGAAATGGCTTATTAAGCTTATACACCTACTGCTTTTATACATTACCAGTATAGTATCACTAATTTAGCTTATACAGACTCCTTACCTGTGGCAGTTATTATTTTATGATGATATCTCTCTCTCCCTCTTATTAGGTAGTAGAAGAGGTTGATGCTTACACTCTAACACCAAACAATGCTTTACACATCAGAGCCAACTGTAACTTCACTGATCAGTTTGGTAGGGGGAGAAGGATTGGAGAGGAGTGGCTGGTTAAATATGATGACACTGAATCATACATACCTGATGTCACTGAGGTACAGTGTACATGTAACAAACCTTAATTCTATTACATGCATGGGAAGAAAGCTCATTAGGGGCATAACTGTTGTTGAGATAGAAAGAATTCCTTCAGCAGTCTTGTTATAACCACAGAATCCATACATCAGCCAAACTATAATCAATGCTTATACACACACACCCACACAGTAAAGGATAACAGGTTTGCACAAGACTTAACTCTCAGCTGATGGTCAGTCTGGTGAGGTGGCATTTAATGGATTAAATTAACAATCATAGTAATTCTTGTGTGCCGTAATCTGATTAGATTTGGTTGCTTAACACAATCAAAATATAACACTTAGTATTTTTTATTATATCCTACAGGAGGTTGTTAATGAAGTACAGTTGACTGTTTTATCCCACCATCAGTATTGTGTGGTTGTTAATCCTCTTGGTGATGATGGTAGACCACGTCTTGGCTGTAGGGAACTGAGAAAAGGACCCAAGACTTTCTTCCTTCATCCTGGTAACTGATTAATATTGATTAAGTATTGATTTTATTATGATGATTTTGTAATTGTCATGTACATGTACATACATGGTTAATGTGGAAAGGTACGTGTATTTGATATGTTATGTATATGCGTTTGGGCAATGTACAAATGCCTGAGTGTGTGCCATCTTTTTGTGCGTGTGCGTGTGTGTGCTTTTTGTTCACATGTCATGTATGTACGTTTATTGTGTAGGTGAGAAGTTTGAGAGAGGGATACAAGATGCCATTATATTGGAATCTGATGAAGCTCTTCTTGTCACTGCTCAAGAGGAATTTGATGACATTACTGAAGATGGTAAGTAATGACCCATTTACATACTGTGTTTGGTCTGGCATAGACTGCTGTGTGGGAAATACTAAGAGAATTCATGACTGTCAGATAATGTGTTATGACAAAGGATAAAAATAATGGCATTCATTGCATTCCTAATATTGATATGTACACTATTCTGTTATTTGTAGGTAGTAAAGTCCATCGTACCCCTGGTGACAGGTGGATGATTCATGGACCAACTGACTATATACCTAGAACTGAGATTGGAAACATACAGAGGAGGTTAGTATTTTTTGGTAAAATACAAACCTCCAAAGGTTTAAAACAGTCACATGATATTATTCATGTTCGTTGCTTGACGAAGATGAATACTGATAAAAACTGATAAAAGTTATGAGGCTCTGCTTTTGAATATTGTTTTGCTATTGCATGACATGCATAGCAACTAAACCATTGTGGTAAATTTTTGATGGTGCAGCTAAATACATGCATATATTACACACTTCCAAATACATGCATAGCAACTAAGCCACCCCCTGCCTATATAATAGTTGTGTTAGGAATGTTCAAGCCTGAAGTCCACTGTGACAGGCTGATAGTGTGATGAGGGATACTTTAAATCATAGTTTCTATCTCTCTACTGTAGGAAGGCTACTCCATTGAATGAGAATGAAGGGATTTATGTTAGAAATGTTCAGTCAGGACAGGTAAACCAATACAGTACAGTACAGTAATATATTAATACTAACACTGGTGGTGTGTCCAATACAGTACAGTACAGTACAGTACTATATTAGTACTAACACTGATGGTGTGTCCAATACAGTACAGTACAGTACAGTACTATATTAGTACTAACACTGGTGGTGTGTCCAATACAGTACAGTACAGTACAGTGTTATATTAATACTAACACTGGTGGTGTGTCCAATACAGTACAGTACAGTACAGTGCTATATTAATACTAACACTGATGGTGTGTCCAATACAGTACAGTACAGTACAGTACTATATTAATACTAACACTGGTGGTGTGTCCAATACAGTACAGTACAGTACAGTACTATATTAATACTAACACTGGTGGTGTGTCCAATACAGTACAGTACAGTACAGTACTATATTAATACTAACACTGGTGGTGTGTCCAATACAGTACAGTACAGTACAGTACTATATTAGTACTAACACTGGTGGTGTGTCCAATACAGTACAGTACAGTACAGTACTATATTAATACTAACACTGGTGGTGTGTCCAATACAGTACAGTACAGTACAGTGCTATATTAATACTAACACTGGTGGTGTGTCCAATACAGTACAGTACAGTACAGTGCTATATTAATACTAACACTGGTGGTGTGTCCAATACAGTACAGTACAGTACAGTGCTATATTAATACTAACACTGGTGGTGTGTCCAATACAGTACAGTACAGTACAGTGCTATATTAATACTAACACTGGTGGTGTGTCCAATACAGTACAGTACAGTACAGTGCTATATTAATACTAACACTGGTGGTGTGTCCAATA